GGGGGGGGTGGGGATGATTCTTGCTGTAAGGACTTGTTCCCTCTTAATTCTCTTTTTTAAGAAGAATGTTCTGACTATAAATAAGACCAACACAGTTTGGGTATTCCATGAAAAGTATTCCTTTTTTATTTTTTAACACTTTTGAAAAAAATAATGTTATCACAGTCTCAAGTTTTAAGAGCTGGCCAACTATTAACATGAGTTATTTGTTTACTGGTATTAAAACAAAGCAAAACAAAAACCACTGCCATAGAGTCGATTTCAATGCATAGTGATCTTGTAGCAGAGTAGAACTGCTTCTTCAGGTTTCCAAGACTAAATCTTTACAAAAGCAGACAGCCTCATCTTTCACCCACTTAGCAGCTAGTGAATTTGAACCACCCATCTGTGGTTCGCTGTCCAGCACTTAACACGCTGTGCCACCAAGCCTCCTTACTCAGTGATATTGTTTACTTTAAATTGATAAATTTAATCCAAAAGGTGACGTCAGTAACTAACAGCTGCATGTAGTTTAATTGCTTCCATTTCGTTTCCAAGTGGATTTGAATATATGCAGTGTTTTATCTCTAAAGAAACCAGTAACCATATCACGTATAGTTGCAAGTTCACATAATGATTTTTCAGAGTCCTTGTATAGGATAATCACTGAACTGCTAACTGGATAGTTGGTAGTTCACACCCACCAACCACTCCTCAGAAACCCTATACAGGGATGCTGTGAGTTGGAATCAACTTGACAACACTTAACAGCAACATACTGATTATTCAGATTTTATCTGGTTGTGGTGCTAGGGCACTTAAGGTGTCTTGTATCATTCCCAGAGCTTTATACATGAGCTGCATTCCAGAACTCAGTTATACAAAGAATAGTTTATATAGTAGGAGTTCAGGACCAAACTCTGTCGAGTATGTCTAGGATGCAAGATGTATTTGAATGGCATGATGTGCCTCTACCCTATTCTCTATGTTTACTTTAATTCCTTTCTTTCTTTTCTTACAGATAATAACAGACTTTGATATGACACTAAGTAGATTTTCCTACCAAGAAAAGAGATGCCCAACATGTCATAGTAAGTGTGACATTCTGATTCATGAAAGTAACCAATATTTTATGATTTATCACCTTGTATTACCTGAGAAGAGGTTTTTTTTTTTCTTTTTGGACATTGAAAGTTATGGGATTTGAAGATAGAGGCCCTACTTTTTCTTAGTATGTTATATGTTGTTATTAAGTGCCATCAGGTCATTCCTGCTCATAGCAACCCTGTGTAGGCTTTCAGGGACTCTTGGTGTGGCACTGTGGAATTAGCAGTGGACTGCAAACCACAAGGTCGGCAGTTTAGATCCACCAGCTGCTCCTTGCAAACCCTATACAGGGCCACTGTTAGTTGGAACTGACTCAGTGGCACTTAACAACAAAAAGGGTTTGTGAGACTGTAAATCTTTTTGGGAGCAGAAAGCCTTGTCAGTCTCTTGGAGTGACTCATGGACTCAAGCCACCAACCTTGTGGTTAGCAGTCCAGTTCTTATCCTACAGAATTACGGTGCTAGGTGATTCGAGCCCACCACATGCTCTGAGAGAGAACAATGAGGCTTTCTGCTCCCATGAAGATTTATGGCCCAGGAAACGATACAGGATTGCTGTGTGTGGGAACCAGCTTGATGGCACACAATATATATATGATGGGATACATAGACTATTTGATACAATGGTGTTTTGGTTTTTTTCTCTAACTTTTTATTGTGAATTGGATGAAACTTCATAAAGCAGATCATCAGCTTTACATTCAACACTTCATACACATTTGTTTCATTTCATGGATTTTAATCACCCTCAATGCAACATCACTTATCTGACTTCTCCCCTGTGTTTCCGGTTTCCTCCTCCTTTCCTACACTGTCTGAACTTTTCCCTTGGGTCAGTGCGGCCCTCTGAGCCTAGACGGTTGACTGCTCAGATGCACGTATCTCACTAGTGTTACTGTTCCCCTCATGGAGCCATCTATTGTTGGACTGAAAAGTGAGATACAGAAATGGGTTAAGTTCCAGACCTGAAGGGTAACTGAGGATCATAATCTTCTTATTGTTTTCCTCGTAATATAAGTAACTATTTGTATGGCTTTAGTTATAAAAGGAATGGTGACTTTCAAAATTGTTCTCTCCCAATGTGTTCCCTTTGTTATTCAAGAACTAGATCCTGGTAGTGGTGATGTGCCATGGAGTGGTTTTGACTCATCTCGCCACCCTGAATAGGGTTTCCGAGGCTGGAAATCTTTACGTGAGCAGAAAGCCTTATTTTTCTCCCACAGAATGGCTGATAGTTTCGAACTGCTGACCTTGAGGTTAGCAGCCCGACTCGTAACCACTACACTACCCTAAGTTAACGTAAGGAAGCAGCATGTATCAAAAACTTTGTGTTTTCTAGGAATTTTACCAAATTTTTGTTTTGTGTACATATAAGGTAAGAAAGTTAGTAATTAAATTCCCAGTTAAAATGTATTGATAGAATAATACAAAGGAGCTTCAAAAAGTTCATGGAAAATGTCTATTATGTTTTAATTCTATTGAAGCACTCTCATATATGTTTTGTGTTTGCTAACTTGGATGTGAGTTTTTAATAAGACTCTTCAATCTGATAAGTAGTGAAAAACACTGTTTCATGTATAGGTAGATTTCAGTCCTAGTGTGGCGCTATAACATAAGCACTAGACCACAAGGTCAGTTTGAACTGTAAGGCCAGTGGTTCAAACTAACCAGCCACACCTCAGAAATTCTATACAGCATCTCTATGAGTTGTAGTCAACTTGATTGCACTTAACAACAACAACATCAATTGAGATGGAACGTAGTAGCTCTGTGGGATGATAAGTACTGGAATGCAAACCACAGGGTCAGCCATTTGAGCCCACCAGCTGCTTAGAGGGAGAAATATGAGAATTTCTGCTCCTCAAAGATTAACACCCTCAGAAACCCTATCTATATAGGATTGCTATGAGTCAGAACCAACTTGAAGATACTTAGCAAAAACAGCATCAATTGAGAAATCGTTTTGATAGTTTGTATAAAAACTGGTAAAAATCTTTTGGATTTTTTTTAGAGAATTTCTTTTGTTTTTTTAGGATTTCCTAAATATAGGAAACATACCACTTAATCAAAAATGTAGTGGTAATTAAACTTATCATAAAATTAATTATAATAACAAGTTTGGAAACAATGTAAAAAGCTTAGCACCAGGGAAAATGGTATAAATTATGTCATGCCCACAAAACAGCATATAGAATTATTATGAATGATATTTATGGAGTGCATAAAAATGGGAAAATTAAGCTATATATGAAATGGAAAAAAAAATTCAAAATTATAGCTCTAATATACTCTCCCCACCTCCTGCATGTTTTGTTGTGAATTGACTGAAGGTTTACAAAGCAGATCATCAGTTTTGCATCCAACAAATCACACACTTTGTTTCATCTCAATGTAATAACAGTATCCCACCTGCTCACTGTGGTTCCTCTTTCCATTTCACCTTCCTCCCCAACCCCTCTGAAATTTGTCCTCAGGTAAATGTTGCCATTTTGATCTTGAATGGATGACCATTCCATAGTGAACATGCTTCACTAAGAGTTATTGTCCCCTCCATATAGCTTATCTACCAGTTGGTGGAAAATTGGGCCATGAGTGATTTCTCTTCCAGACCTGAAGGGTGGCCAAGGGCTATAGATTGGCTATAGTCCAATCTCTTTTTGATCAATAAGCCCAATACTTTTTATAATTTTGAGTTTTGTTCCATCCAGGATCTTCTAATGTGATCCCTTTCAGAGGAGTGTTAGCTGAACACACCATCCAGGTCTTCTAGTCTCAGAGTCATGGAGTCAAATGTTCACATGTCCCACTAGTCCATTGGACTAACTGATTCTGAGCATCTTCATTTCTCATCATTGTTCTTTCTTCGCCACATAAAGAAACCAGTAGTTGCATCTTAGATGGATGCTTGTGAGCTTCTAAAATACCTGTGATATTATCTGTTATCTAAATGATATGTTAAACTTTAAGACTTAGTACACCAAAATATTATTAGCAATTTCTTATGGAATGGTAAATTCCATAAATTCTTATGAGATGGTACTTTTAGTTTTCTTCTTTGTGATAATTTGTGTTTTCTAAATATGCACATTAAACATCTATTATCTTTTTATTGGAGTCCAGGTGTGGTGCTATAAGATAAGGTCTGGACTGGTAACTACAAGGTAGTGGTTCAAATTCACCAGACATTCCTCAGAAACCCGATACAGGATTGCTATGAGTCAAAACTATTAAGACAGTACTTAACAGCCACATCTTTTTATTAGAAAAAAATTAATATTTCAGAGATGTACTCCTTGGTTCCACTTAATAAAAAACCAAATTCATTGCCTTTAAGTCGATTCAGACTCAGAGTGACCATGTGTAAGTTTCCTAGACTGAAAAGCCTCTTCTTTCTCTCTCGATGCGGCTGCTGGGTTTGAATCACCTACCTTTCAGTTAGCAGTCCAGAGCTCATCCCTTATGGTAAGAGTCAGTGCAAAAATATTAGTGTTTAAAGAAATTGAATTTCTAGTACATTTCTATAAATGAACACTCACTAAACCACCTATTTTAAAGTCATTAACTTCTCTAGCAATGACACGTACATTGTTTTGGCACTAAAATCCAAAGTTCTGCTGGCCATGCTAGTCATGATATTAAACAAAAAGAAAAGTACTAAATTAGTCAGTTAGTGGTGGCACCAGATAGTGTTTATTTTGATGCCTGTTTTGCTTTTTCTCTTTAGATGTCATTGAAAACTCTAAACTGGTTACAGATGAATATCGAAAAAAGGTAAGCACTAACAATAACTCAGTGCTTATGGATAGGGTTTTCACTGGCCGATTGTTTTTTAGAAGTAGAATGTCAGGTCCTTTATCCTACTCTGTCGTAGTCTGGAAACTCCACTGAAACCTGTCCACCATGGGTGACCGCACTCGTATTTGAAATATAGGCAGCATAGCTTCCAGCATCACAGCAACATGCAAGCCACCAAGTACGACAAAGTACTTACTCTCGGTCTCCTGTGCCAAGATACTGCAGTGACAACTGCCTGGCCAGCCAACTGGAAGAAATCCATATTTGTGTTCATTCCAAAGAAAGGTAACCCAACAGAATGAGGAAATTATTGATCATTAATATCACATGCAAGTAAAATTTTGCTGAAGGTAATTCAAAATGGTTACAGCAGTATGTCGTCAGCAGGGAATGGCCAGAAATTCAAGCTGGATTCAAGAGGGCATGGAATAAGGGATATCATTGCGTACATCAGATGGATCTTGGCTGAAAGCAGATAATAGCAGAAAGATGTTTACCTGTTTTTCATTGACTATGCAGAGGTAGGATAGTGGTTACGAATTGGGCTGCTAGCCTCAAGGTCAGCAGTTTGAAACTACCAGCCGCTTGGCGGGAGAAGGATGAGGCTTTCTGCTCCTGTAAAGATATATAGCCTCAGAAACCCTGTGCAGGGCCACTATGAGTTGGAACCGACTCCACGGTACTTAACAAAACAACATGCAGAGGCATTGGAATGTGTGGATCATAACAAACTATGGATAACATTGAGAAGAATGTGTATTTTAGAACACTTAATTATAGCTCATGAGCAGCCTATATGTAGACCACGAGGTAGTCATTCAGATAGAACAAGGAGATGTAACGCATGCATGGTTTAAAATCAGGAGAGGTGTGCGTCAGGGTTGTAGCCTTTCACCATATTTTTTCAGTCTGTATGCTGAGCAAGTCATCTGAGAAGCTGCGTTAGGTGAAGAATAACATAGCATCAGGATTAGAGGAAGACTGATTAACAACCTGTAATATACAGATGAAACAGCCTTTCTTGCTGAAAGTGAAGAGGACTTGAATCACTTGCTGACAAAAAACAAAGACTAGAGCCTTCAATATAGATTGCACCTCAACATTAAAAAAAACAAAAACAATAAACAACATCACAATAAACAGACAAATATTGAAGTTGTCAAGGATTTAATTTTACTTGGATTCACAGCACCCATAGACGTAGCAGTCAAGACATCATCATTGCATTGGGCAAATCTGTTGTAAATCTTTAAAGTGTTAAAAACAAAAATGTCACTTTAAGAATTGAAGTACACCTGACCCAGGCCATGGTATTTTTCAGTCACCTCATATACATGTGAAAGCTGGACAGTTAAGAAGGAAGACCAAAAAATGATTGATGGTGTTAGCAAAGAATTTTGAATATACCATGGGTTGCCAGAAAAAAACCCCAAATCTGTCTTGGGAGAAATATAGCCAGAATGCTCCTTAGATGCAAGGATGGCGAGACTCCTCCATCTCACCTACTTTACACAGTTTATTAGAAAGAACCCAGGAGAAGAATTTGTCAGCAAAAAGAGGAAGAGCTCTGAGGATCAGACTTTAGCCACCTAGCAGACATAGCAAAATGTCCCTTTTCTGATTATTCAGTTATGCTGATTAGTAATTCCATACATGAGCCCTAGATACCCACAGATAAATGTAAAAACCTTCCCTAAAAGCCGAGACTGTAAATTCCAAAAAGGCAAAGTTTTCCCCCCCCAAAAAAGCTAAAGAGGATATAGAGAAATTCTGTTAACTGATGGTATGTGGAGGGGATTATAATCAATGTAATGAAACAAGGTATATGAATGTTTGAATGTGAAACCGATGATGTGCCCTGAAAACTTTCACTCAATCCACAATAAAAACCTTAAAAAAAAAAAAAGAGGAAGAGCCATAAGATCTACTGACACAGTGTTGCAACAGTGGACTCAAACATAGCAACAATCATCAATCAGGATGGAGGATGGGGTAGAAGTGGGCAGCCTTTGGTTCTGTTGTAAGGAGGGTTGCTATGAGTCAGAACCCACTAAGTGGCACTGGACAGCGTAACAGCAACAGTATGGAGAGCTACTCAGATTTAGTCCCACAAACCAGAGTGTGTGTTCAGTCTTTATAATCATCCCTGATACATTGTAAGCAGATATAAATTTTAGATTGTTTACTATATGGATTATGCATTCTCAACGGATTTTAAACTATCAAAAGTTTTTAAGTAATATCCAAGATAGTCTAGTGTCTTTACATTAAGTGGAAACTTAATACTTTTATATGAGGGCTTAAGGGTTTGTTTGTTTGTTTGTTTTTTAGTAATAATGTGACTGTTAATTTCATCAAATTGCTGACCTGAAACTACTTAAAAAAATAAAAGTAACTTTTTGCAGATATATTTAGTTACATATAAACTAAGTTCTCAACCTGGTGTGCACCATGGGATAAGCACTGGGCTTCTAATCGCAAAGTTGGTAGTTCAAACGCACCAGGTGCTCTTCAGAAACCCTGTACAGCAGGGGTGGGAAACGTCTAGCCTGTGGACCATGTCACGGCTACCACAGTTCCTGCCATCATAGTAGATAGAGGTAAATTAATTAAATGTTTGACCAAACATAGTAGACTAATTTTAAAGTTGATAATTTTGTATGGCCCACAAGTGATGTTATAAATATCTAAATGGCCCTCATCAGAAATAAGGATCCCTACCTGTGCTGTACAGGGTCACTGTGAGTTAGAACCAGCTGAAAGGCACGTAACAACAACAACAAAGTAAGGTCAACAAGGATCTGTTTAATACATGCATTAGCTAAATACTTGTAAGCCAATCTTTATACATAATAGTTTACGGAGAACACTTGTTTATATTCTTTTGCTTTCTATTAACGTAAGCAGTTTAATGACAAAACTGTCATTTATGATTAAGTATTTGTTTATTTCTAGTTTTTGCAACTAAAGGAAAAATATTATGCTATTGAAATTGATCCTGTTCTCACCATGGACGAGAAGTATCCCTATATGGTGGAATGGTGAGTGTGCATTGGGAGGTTAGAGAGATAGAACTGGAATGAAACAGCATTACAACTGTAACTGTGGGTTTACTCCCCCCACCATGTATATAAATAAGTTAAGAAATTATACAGTAAATTAATAAGAAATTGAACTCTAATTTTCTATTCACTTTAATAGTCGGTGGGGGCGGTTCTTGTTTATTTGTTGGTTGGTTTTAAGATGGGATTCAGCAGAGATAAATTTTTAAATCCTATACTTAAATCATAAATAAAAAATAATAATATTAAAATAAAAAGGATAGGAACAAGATGTGACTCAATATATATAGAAAAAGAACTACGACTTTTAATTGACCTTGAATTTAGTTGGAGCCCATAGAATGACATTGTTACCAAGCAATATTTGTAGACATTGGTGTTAGATACATGAATCAAAATGCAGCACTGTGTATTGAGTTCTGAGTTCAACGTATGTCTGAGGAGTGTGCTAGGACAGAGAAATCAGAGTCATCCATTTGAAGAATATTTCAAGGAATAGAGGATTCTTAGCTTTGAGAATCAGCAGTTTGTGGATTTACAATCCCAGAGACCAGGAATGGTGCTTATATCCTCATTATTCTATTATCTAATAGCTACCAGAACCGACTCGATGGCATTTAACAACAATAACTAATGGCTGCCTTGCACACTTAACTCAGTGTTCATGATTTTAAATGACAACAAGAATTTAGACTTAATCTGTGTGTCTGCGAAGGCAACTCTGGAACTGACTTGGAAGGCATAAGTTAAGGTTGATTTCAGTATGATAGACGAAAGGACCACCCAGTGGTGAGCTTCCCTGGAGAACGAGCTCACAGAGCCAGGCAGAGGAGCCTTCACGTAGGGCTATTGAGGGGCACTGTTAGGTACCTACCAGGTGGGCTTACACTGAGATGATGTGCTTATAGTTGCTTTCACGTCATAATAAAGCAGGGTAACCTGTATTTAAAACTTTACATAATAACAAGGATTTTCTCTCTTATTCTACTCCCTAGGTACTTACGCATTTCTTGAAAATTCAAACTCCACAAAGATGATAAAAATAGCTCAGATCTAATTCTTATCAATCAGAGAAATGCTTATGGTATACACTAGGTTATACTCAGTTCTTATCTGTAGACTAAGAAAGATTTAGTGTTAGCTTCCTAATACTTGTTATGTACGTATTTAAACTAAGTCAGAGCTTGAGAGAGCTGGGAAATGCAGCAATGAGAACTTCCATAGTACACTTTGAAACACATTCATTAATTATGAATTTAAGTCTCTCAAATTTAAATCCAGAAATACATGTGATGAATGAAACACTGTGTTTTTTCACACTATCTTTATAATAAAGATATTCTTTTATTATTATTGTATTATTGCTTTAATTGATATTACTTTTTTTTTGGGGGGGGGTCATAAACTCCAGGTATACTAAGTCACATGGTTTGCTGATTGAACAAGCTTTACCAAAAAATAAAATTAAAGAAATTGTGGAAGAATCTGACATTATGCTCAAGTAAGTATGTTGGATGTTTTTGTTGTAATTGTCTACAAATGTCATCTGTTGTCATATACATGTGTTCATATAATCTGTAACATTATGCCACCTAAAGACACATTTATAACATGCTACCTATTACAGAAAAGCTTATGCCTTTGGAGATTTAAATACTAATTTAATTTACATTTCCTTTCTCTAGGTTAAACATATTAAGACTAACAAGTTTATGAAATCAGGATCATTTTCAAATTTCTTAGCAAAATGCTTTTGTAAGACATGCAATATGGAAGGAAAGTTAATAAATCAACTACAAGGACTTAGCCAATTACCCTTTATCTAAATTTACATGAGTCTACTTTCTGAATTCTCCCTTAAAAACCATCTTTATGGAAAAACCACTACCTCTAAGTAGATATTGACTCATTTGTTGTTGTTATTAGGTGCCATTGAGTCAGTACCGACTCTTAACGACCCTATGCACAACGGAACGAAGCACTGCCCAGTCCTGGGCCAACCTCACAATTGTTGCCACACTTGAGCCCATTGTTGCTGCTACTTTGCCAGTCCATCTCGCTGGGGGTCTTCCTCTTTTTCTCTGACCCTCCACCTTATTGACTCATTTTGTTGTTATGTGCCGTGGAGTTGGTTCCGACTCATAGCAACCCTGCACAGGGTTTCCGAGGCTGTTAATCTTTACAGGAGCAGAACACCTCATCTTTCTCCCACAGAGCAGCTGGTAGTTTCGAACTGCTGACCTTGCGGTTCGCAGCACGATTCGTAACCACTACGCTACCAGAGCTCCTTATTGACTCATAGAGACCCTATATAAGGTTTCTGAATAGGAATCTTCATAGGCACAATTGTCTCATCTTTATTCTGTAGAACTGCTGATTTTGAACCTATGACCTCACCTTTAGTAACCTAATACCTAGCCCACAGCACCACCAGGGCTACTTATATCTAGGAAAATAGATGTTGATTTAGTAAATAATTTAATTGTCATAGTGCATGAATGTGTGTTAATTTAGGTGCTGCCTAGGTGGCGCTGACTCATAGTGACCTATGCACAAGAGGATGAAACCATGCCTGGTCCTGGTCCTGGTCCTGGTCCACCCTCAACAGTCTTTAATGCTTGTGCCCATTGTTGCAGCTTCTGTGTTCAGACCTTTTGTTGGGAGTCTTCCTCTTTTTCCGAGACCCTCTACTTTACCAAGAGTAATGTCCTTTTCAAGGGACTGGTCCCTCCTAATAACCTGTCCGAAGTGTTGCCATCCTCACTTTTAAGGAACATTCTGTATGTACTTCTTCCAAGGTAGATTTGTTATTCTTCTAGCAGTCCATGGTACTTACAGTATTCTCTAAGACCACAACTCAAATGCATCAATTCTGTTCTAGTTTTCCTCATTCATTGTCCAACTTTCACATGCATATGAGGTGATTGAAAAGACCATGGCTTGGGCCAAGTGCACCTTTGTCTTCAAAGTAACATATTTTCTCTGTAACACTTTTAAGAGAGGTCTTCTGAAGCAGATTTGCCTTAATGTAATACGTTCTTTGATTTCTTGACTGCTTCTTCATGAGTACTGATTGTGGATCCAAGTAAAATGAAATCCCTGACAACTTCAAACTTTTCTTCATTTATCATGATGATGTTTTATTGGTCCAGTTGTGAGGATTTTTATTTTCATTACATTATGTTGTAATCCATACTGAAGGCTGTATTCTTTAATCTTCATCAAAAAGTCTTTAAAGTTCTCTTTGCATTCAGCAAGCAAGGTTGTGCCATCAGCATATTGCAGATGGTTCATGAACTGTCCCCCAAGTTTGACGTTACATTCTTGGTATAGTTCAGCATCTCATATTATTTGCTCAGCACACAGATTAAGTATGATGAAAGTATACAACACTGACATAAACCATTCCTCAGTTTAAACCATTCACTATCCTTGTTCTGTTTGAATGACTGCCTCATGGTCTAAGTGCAGATTCCTCATGAGCACAATGAAGTGTTCTGGAATTCTTCTCAGTGTTATCTATAGTTTGATATGATGCCTTTGCATGGTCAATAAAACACAAGTAAACATCTTTCTGGTAACCTGACATCAACAGTGATATCCCTCATTCCACATCCTCTTCTGAATCTATCTAGAATTTCTGGCAGCTCCCTGTTGATGTACTGCTGCAACCTTTAAACAATAATCTTCAGCAAAATTTTGCTTGCATGTGATATTGCTCGATGATTTCCACATTCTATTTGGTCATCTTTCTCTGGAATGGGTACAGATATATATCTCTTCCAGTTAGTAGCTGTTTTCCAAATTTCTTTTTTTTTTTTTTTTTTGAGGGCCTAGAGCAAATAATTCATTGAGTATAGATACCAAGGTGAACAGGGGAATGAAAAATCTCCCAGATCTGTCTCCAAACAAAAGAGGAAGGGAGTGGAGTTATGTTTTGTTTTGTTGGTTTTTTTTTCAATTTAAGGTTTTTATTGTGAATTGAGTAAAACTTTACAGGGCAGATCATCAGTTTTATGTTCAACAAATCATACACCTTGTTTCATTGCAGTGATTATAATCCCCTCCATGTACCATCAGTTAACCGTGTTTCTCTCTATTCACTTTAGCTCTTTTTTTTTTTCTTTTTAATACTCAGGCATATATAATAATTACACCACCAAAGAGCACATTCTGCAAGTCTGCCTCCTGGCCACCAGCTCTTAGTCCCTCTCTTCCCATGAATCTAGAGTCCTCAGCTGCTCCTTCTTTCCATGTCCCCATCTTTGCCTCCTTCTCTGGTGTCACTGCTTCACTGGATAAGGTCTCGTGTTCTGCTTGTGGTCTTCTCCTTTGATGATCCTAGGGTCAGTCCTTTGTTTCTGGATTATAAGATTAACTGCTTTCCTGTTTTTTTTAACAAAACTTACCTTTACAATTGTGACCATCGCAATTAGTCATGATAACATTTACTCACTATTGAATCATAAGAATCTTACCCCATCTCTTTTAACCAGTCTCATCTAGACAACATGAAAACTATTCAGTGGGGACTCTTTTTTTCCCCACACACTATTAAACTAAGCTCTCCCTTGAAACCTTGTAAGCCAGTCACTTCGTGCCTTTATCGCCCCCTCATTTTAGGTAATTTATATCTAAGTTGCCCATCCCTATCTGCCCTGTGTACAGAAGGGATAGCATTGATACTTGATGTGAAGACTCCTTCCCTCTCTTGTTTTCTGTATTGCTGGGCATAGATCACTTCCAGCATTGCAACAGTTTGTTTAAACATTTCAATTGATATTCCGTCAATCCCCAGAGCCTTGTTTTTCACTAATATTTTCATTGTGACTTGGACTTCTTCCTTCAGTACCATTGCAACCTTCTGAAATGATTGAACATCAACCAATTCTCTTTGGTACAGTGACATTCTTTGAAGCTTTCTGCATCATTCAGTATTTTACCCATAGAATTCTTCAGTATTGCAAGTTGAGGCTTCAGTTTTTTCGTTTATTTCTCTCAGTTGAGAAATGCTGAGAGTGTTCCTTTCTTTTCTTTTCTTTCTGTTGTTTTCATTATGTTTTGCTTTCTTCCTTCCTGTATAATGTCCTTGATGTCATTTTACAACTACTCTGATATTCTGTTATTAGTGTCTAATGCACCAAATTCGTTTCTGAGATCTCTGAATTCAAGTGGGAGGTACTCAAGGTTGTATTTTGGCTCTCATGGACTTGTTTTAATTTTCTTCAGCTTCATCCTGAACTTGTATATGAACAGTTGATGGTCTGGCCACAGTAGGCTCCAAGCCTGGTTTTAGCTGATACTGAGCTTTCCCATGTTCTTCCCATTTGTTGTTGTTAAGTGCAGTTGAGTCGATTCTGACTGATCCTACCCTGTATAGGATTTCCAAGGAGCAGCTGATGAGTTTGAACCACCAACCTTGCAGTGTAAACGACTTGCAGTCTGACGCATTAACCCACAGCGCCACACCAGGACTGTAGTCAATTTGATTCCTTGTGTGTTTCATCTAGTGAAGTCCACATGTATAGTTGCCATTTATGTTGCAAAAAGGTATTTGCAGTGAATAAGTTTTTGATCCTGCAGACTTCTATCAAGTGATGTCCTGCGTCACTTTATTAAACACAGGCTACATTTTCCAGCTACTGAGCCCTCCTCTTTGTTCCCAACTTTTGCATTCCAATCACTAATAATTATCAGTGCATCTTGAGTGTATGGAGTGTTTGAACATCAACCAGTATGAAATATATAAAAGTCTTTAAACTTATTTTCCATATGCTTTTAAATTTTTTAACTTCTTAGACAAATATGATGATGCTACATTTTAACAAAAATGATTTCTAAATTGTAAATTAGATTTACGAAGACTATAAGGACAGCTAGTAAGTATTTCATTTGTTTGTAAGCAACAACAGCTTTATTTAGTTCCCTAAACCAGAAAGCAAACCCAATGCTATTGAATCAGTTCTGATTTATGTTGATCCTATAGGACGTAATAGAACTCTTTAGGGTTTCTGAGACTATACATGTTTACAGGTGCAGACAACTTTATCTTTCTCTTGCCAAGAGATAGGTGGTTTTGAACCTCGTGGTTAACAGTCAGCATGTAACCCATGGCACCAGCAGGGCTCTGTTTTGTCCCCAGGAACAATAAAAAGGGAAGAAAAGGTTTTAAGATCAAATTTTACCTCTAGCTTGGTCTTAAGAAGGTGTGATGCCAGTTGTAGAGAAAACAGAGCTAAATTCCTGCTGGTCTGCTTTATAGGAAATGAAACAGTAGACCTTCCCTGAACTGACTTTTTCACTCAGGATGTGGTTTCATTATTTTCTGTAAGTTCTTATATCTGTATTCATTGTAAAGTTAAAGCTCCCCCAGTTGATGAGAATTGGGGAAAGAAGGTAATGGTTGTGTAACTACTGCTAATAACGCCATAGATCTCTATAGGAGTATTTAGCTTTATAAACTTCTAATTGAAAAGGAGATATATCTTGCTCTTTAATGATAGTTTTTTACCTCCATGTTGCAGGGAAGGATATGAGAATTTCTTCGACAAACTCAAACAACACAGTATCCCTGTGTTCATCTTCTCTGCTGGTATAGGTGATATAGTAGTGGAGGTGATCCGTCAAGCTGATGTCTGTCATCCAAATATCAAAGTCGTGTCCAATTTCATGGATTTTGATGAAAATGTAAGAATATCAAATATCTTTAAATGATGTGTAATCTAAAATGATTTTAATCATTGTGAATGAATTTGTATTCGTATTTAGGATAGTCATTAAATTAGGCCAATTTGAGATAGGCCTGCCTAGGAACTCACACCCATGTCTTTAAATTAACTTAAACTTTCTTAAATGTCTGTCCCCTTAGCTATAGACTGATTTTTCAGTTAGTAAAATGTGTTTGATGGCAATTTCATAGAGCAACTCTGAAGACCTAGGATCCACAGAGCAGGGAAAGAAGTGAACTAGAACTGGTGTTAGTAGAACATGAATTTTTCTAATCAAGACCGTATCTTATAAATAACATAAAGTAGAATCGTTTCATTAGGTATAAAATTAACATTTTAAATTAGATTTTCAATTCATCATAATTTATCCCTTTAAAGAAATCTAAAAATCAATTTCCTTTTCAAAGCCCTTTTGACTTGTCATGAGTGCTATTGAATCAAGTGCTTTTGAGACCGCTATAGTCCAAGTCAAATGACAAATATGTTGGTAGTAAGAGTGAAATCTATTAAGATAAAAACTCTAAAATATGAAAATATAACAAATATAATTGCCAGAGCTTTTTTTTTTTTTAATAGGGGATACTTAAAGGATTTAAAGGAGAATTGATTCATGTATTTAACAAACATGATGGTGCCTTGAGGAACACAGACTATTTCAATCAATTAAAAGACAACTGCAACATAATCCTGTTGGGAGACTCCCAGGGAGACTTAAGAATGGCAGATGGAGTTACCAGTGTTGAAAACATTCTGAAAATTGGGTATCTAAATGATAAAGTAAGTAAACATCTGCCATTTAATTTTTCTTTTAAGAAAAATTAGCATGAAATCTGTTAGAAGACTGTTGCCAGAGACCCCCAAGAAAGTAGTTATTCTGAAAATATTCTGCTTGCTCTTTACTCTTTCACAAGGGGCCCTGGTGGTACAGTGGGGAAGTGTTGGGCTGCTAACCAGAAGGTCAGTGGTTCAGATCCACCAGTCACTCTATGGGAGAAAATATAGCTCTCTGTTCCTCTAAGTGTTAACGTCTCCGAGACCCAGAGGAGCAGTTCTACTCTTGTGTGATAGGATTGCCGCAAGTCAGAACTGACCCAGTGGCAATGGTTTTGGCTGCTCTCTGACTTTGGATTTTTGCGCAACCATGCTCTAAGTACGGGGTGAAGAGAGGCTATACAAACCAAATGAGGCTTCTCAGCAAATTCTAGATTTTCTTAGCCTCAGCACTATTGACATTTTGTACCAGATAATTCTTTGTTGGATGGAGCTGTCCTGTGCATTGTAGGGTGTTTTGCAGCATCCCTGGCCTCTATACACAGGATGACAGTAGTACCTCTCCCAGTCATAAGATTTAAAAGTATCTCCAGATATTGCCATGTCATCTTTAGCAAGGAGAGGGGATAAACCGTCCCAGTGGAGAGCCACTGGACTAGAGAGAATTCATTTTGAGGAAATTGTTTCATCAGTGAGTCTTAAAAGTTTGAAAGCATTTCTTCACTTCAAAGTTTTAATACAATTCAGTTTTGTCCAACAAATCTAACATACCAGTTAGACTCAAACTGAAACTGAAACTACTTCTGCTGCCTGCATGCTAACTTTATTTCTTTTCTGTTGATTAGGTAGATGAGCTTTTAGAAAAGTACATGGACTCTTATGATATCGTTTTAGTAAAAGATGAATCATTGGAATTAGCCAACGCTATCTTACAGAAGATTCTGTAAATATTCATGCATCAGGAAGACCTCTCTCCCATGGGAGCAACCAGTGCAAATACTGCTCATCACTTCATCCTGCTCTGGAAGACGTATTGATAGCACTTGCTTGCACTTAAAGTTTTCCTTTACACAAGTATTTTCAGGTCTATTGAATCCATCGCCTGGAAGCTCCTTTTTTATTATTATTATTATTCTCAACACACTCCCAATTGTATTTTTTAACAGATTTAAAAACCATAAGAATAATAAAATATCTTAAAGCCAAAATTAGAAAAGTAACTCCCTACTGTTCCAAAGTGGATTGTTTAGTTTAATTTTATCATGAAGTTTCTGGGAGTCTTTATACTGAGAATGTTTGTAAGTGCTTTTTTAAATGATCAAATATGGGTGTGATTTGAGTGAATGATGATATCACCATCTCCTGAAATTATGTATAGGTATGTGTAAATCAACATTTATTAGAAAAGATTGGTACTTGATGATTGTGGGATGAAAAAACCTGTTGGTGTCTCCATGTTACTAATCATTACAGAATCTTCTATATTGATTGAAGCACTGATAATAAACATGAAATGGAAAATCTTTTAAATTTTACTGTCAAGACTAACATTCATTCAACACCTATTAAATTTGTTTCTTTATTGTTTTTTGGGAGGGGGTGATATGTAAGCCATACTTTCCTTGTCATAATAGCTGTTTAATCTGAATATTTTCAAAACCTGTGCATTATCAGGTTTAAAGATGATAGTTGATTGTAGAGAAAATTTAATCTACCCTTTAGACAAGAAATATTATTTTCCCTCATTGAAAAGATACCAATAAAAGAGGGCACTTTATTGGAAGCAAAATGCAGTTGATGCATGTGGAATTAACATTCTTCTAACTTCCCGTTCTAAATTTTTGTTGCCCCATAATTGGTTTGCACAAAGCTTAGAACACCAATCATGTTCCTTTGAAATGTTCTCTGAGTCTGGGAATTAGAAGACTGAAGGGGCAAGATCCGGGCTGTAGGGTGGATGGGGTAAGGTTTCCCAACAAAATCCTTGTAGGACAGCCCTTGCTTCTCTTGGAAAATGAGCAGGTCTGTTTTCATGATGGAAAAAAAATTCCTCGGTGCAATTTTCCTGGCCTTTTACCCACCAATGCAGTTTTCTTTTTCCTTAAAACTTCATCATAATAAGCCCCTGTGATTATCCTGTGCCTTCAAGAAAATCTACCGAGATTACCCCCTTTCAGGATCCAAAAAGAACATGTGCATTGCTTTCTGAACAGACCTCTGTCTTGACTTGAACTTGCCCAGCAGATGCCCTCAGAAGCCATTCTTTTGATTGGATCTTCTTTTTGAGGGTGCCCTAAGGAGACAAAGGCAAGTGTGTTCCTGAGGAACATCCACCAATCACAGAGACTTGTTTAAACATTTTGTTTGCAAGAAACCTGTGCGTGTATGAACTGGACTCCAGTAGCAGTATTTTTTGGCTTACTTTTGTATGACTGACCACATCACATCTCTCTGACAATATTACTGATACTTAAAATGTTTTTAAATGAAGGTAGGGATATGCCCTCTAGATTTGTGAGGATTGGATGTGGTGGTCTACATAAAGTCTAGTTCTATGAATGTATTCAAGGTTGTTAGCTCTTATCCATGTACTGCAGTGTAAGCTCTCTTGTCCCCAGTGCTGTGTCTGGTCCAATCAGTGAAATAGGAGGATCTTTTGAGATTTCAGCAAACACTAGTAATGTGTAGTAAGCACCATGTTATCTGAAGAACCCAGCATTAACTGGTGCTTGCATTTAACATGAAATCTTTACTTTATGAGGTAAAGCAGTTCTGATTGCTAACATTAACAATTTTTATGAAACAACGGTTGTTTCAGAGTGATTTTACTCAAAAAAAATCTATATCCCATGGTGTGTTTACTAAACACCTGGTAAAGTAGTAGTTGTTAAGTGCTATCCAGTAGATTCCAGCTCATAGCGACCCCATAAAGGGTTTCTGAGGAGCAGCTGGTGGGTTTAAACTGCTGACCTTGCGGTTCAAACTGACCTTGCAGTCCAGTGCGTCATCCTGCAATGCCACACCATTACTCCTGGTCAGCTACAAAGAGGAAGGCCCTCATGATGAATTGGCACAGTAACTGAAACAATGGGCTCAAACATAACAATTGGGTGGATGGCGTAAGACTGGGCAGTGTTGTGTTCTATTGTGCACACGGTTGCTATGAGTCAGAACTGACATGATGACATCTAACAATAACAACATAGCTAACTAGATTACTGAAATATTTTTAGCCTTCGAGTTCAAGGTTTTCTCTTTTGCATACTGTAGTGGTTACGAGTCGAGTTGCTAACCTCAATGTCAGAAGTTCAAAACTATCAGTCAATTTTCAGGAGAAAGGTTAGGCTTTCTGCTCCCATAAAGATTTACAACCTTGGAAACCCTATACAGGGGCTTTAGGAGTCAAAACCAACTCCATGGCACAATGTCACCACCACTATAGAAAATGAGGAAGAGAAAGATGTATGCATTTCAATGACTAATGCTGATACTGCTCCTAGGTTATCTCAGAGTTCAAAATCCTATTTTTCAGTACAAGCTTTAATAGTTACAAAAAAAAAAAAAAGTGCCCATTGTGTGAGGGACACAGGTGTGGAGTCACCAAGCCCAGCTCTGAGTCCTACATCTGTCTATGCCCTGGAGTAAGTTTCCAACCTCTCTAAGTCTTAGTGTCCTTGAGAGGTAAAGATGAAATGAAGAATCATTCATTCAACAATATCTGTTACTACTATGAGCCAGGTTCTAGAGAAACAGTTAACAAATAGGTTCTTCTTTCTGGTCTCATACGTTACATCCTAGTGAATGAGGCAGTCCCACCCTCATACAATGGAGAAGAAAGTCAGTTTTTAAAAAAAAATAGGACAAATGCTGTGGAGAAACAAATAGCAAAGGATCTGTTTTAGATAAAGTTGCTGTTTTACTTCTCCAGTTGTGGTCTAACAAATACAACTGAGTGACTTTAACAGATTTATTTTCTAAAAGTTTGTGGTTGTTGAGTTCTGTGGAGTTGGTTCTGACAGGGTTCTGACTCCCAGTAAACCCTGTACAGGGTTTCCAAGGAGTGGCTCATGGGTTTGAACCACTGACCTTGCAGTTCAAACTGATCTTGCAGTCCAGTGCATCATCCTACAGCGCCACTTAGGAAGCTAGAAAGCAGAATTCAGAGCGCCAGCTCTAGGGAAGAGCTTTCAGTACTCTGAAGAAAGGCTTCAAGGCTTCAGCTTCAGGTGCCTTGTTGAGCTCCATGTGCTTCGGTGTGTATCCTACCCATCTCTGCTCTGCTCCTTTGTATCTCAAGAGATTGACTCAAGAAATACTCTACAGAAATTCTACCTCAGTCACATCACCATGACAACCCATTCTCAAATGGGTTATAGCCACAGGCAAAGGGCATGAGTTTACAACACATATTGTGGGCACAGTATTCAATCTATAAACGCCTGAAGGATGAGGAGCTGACCATGTGAGGAGTTAAGCATTTTAAGGAGCGGGAATAGCAGGTGCAAAGGTCTGAAGGAAGAGTTCAGGGTGTTCGAAGAACTGAAAACTGGTTTTAAAAACTGAAGGATTGTATCAAAATAATCGGGAAGTGGGTGTGTGCCAGATCACATAACCAGATGCCATTGAGTGGATTCTGAGAAAGCCGAGCTAAAAAGAAAAACAATGCCGTCCCTAGAACCCTGAGATATTAAGGGGGAGCAGGGGGAATAGACCGGTACAATCTTGTAGTCAGACCAACATCCCTGCCCAAATACAGCTGCTCTTTCTTCATGTCTTTTACATACTTTTTTTTTTTTTTTAAGCTATTAAATGCCTTCAGGCTGGTTAGGACTCATAGTCACCTGTATAGTCATTAAAGTGTTGACAAGCAAAGATGTCAGTGTGCAGACTAAGGTGCACCTGACCCAGGCCATGGTATTTCCAGTACCCTCATATGCATGTGAAAGTTTAACAACAAATAAGGAAGACTGCAGAGGAATTGATACATTTGAATTCTGGTGTTGGCAAAGAATACTGAAGAGTACCATGGACTGCCAGAAGAACAAACAAATCTATTTTGGAAAAAGTACAGCTAGAATGCTCCTTAGAAGATGAAGCCTCTTGTACTTTGGACATATTTGGAGAAGGCTATTTCCACAATTGCGAATGTGGAGGGTCAGTGAAAAAGAATTCCCCCAAAGTGATTAGCTTTTCAGTCTAGGAGCGGAGGGCCCTGGGACCATCAATGGAGAAGAGCGGAGAGCGGGACCCCAACCAGAGAAGCAGTGAGGCCTGAGATGGAGGCAGAGACGATGATGTGGAAAGATGGAGCAGCTGGGGACTCTAGATCCAGAGACGAAGAGGGGCTATGTGCTGAGGACCGGTGGGGGGAGGGGGGGCAAGGCTTGCAGGGTATATACCCTTCGGTTGGGTGATGACGCATGGCGGGATGGTAACTATGGCAATGAAACGATGCATGATAGAATTAATGTAAAACTAATGTTCTCCCATGTAAACAACTATCACACAATTCACAATAAAACATTTATTAAAAAAAAAAAAAAGAATTCCCCCGAGATGGACTGACGGTGGCAGCAACAATGGGCTCAGAAGTAGCAACGCTGGCGCATGACTGAGCAGCGAGTGTTCTGTTCTGTTGTGCATACGCTTGCTCTGAGTCAGAACTGACTCCATGGAACCAAACAACAACAAAGTCTTAGCAGCCTGCCTGTCCAGAGAGATTAATGCCACCGACATCTCCCCTTTAACAACAGGAAGACTGGAAGTGCCCAGGCAGCATTCATTTCAACAAGCTAAAGGTTCCCTGTAATCCTGAAGTTCTAAACCCCATGGCCCTTAATTTCTCTAGATAAACATATTTCTGATTCAGCCACTGTCTTCACCATGGCCAATAAAGAAATTTAAACAGGGCTAAATAAAGATCTGGAATAGGAAACACGGTTTTTATATTAATGAAGGTAATGTAGGGATCATGAAGTGTTCTAGGT